TCGGTTTTGTCCCCAACATAAAATTCGTTTTTGTCTGAGACACTACGACACGGAACACTGCAAAAAGCTAATTTTTAGGGGTTCCTCGATGTGAGTCGAACTACGATTGCGTTCATAATGGTCTATGTCGTAAAGATAGCGATGGTTATGGCAGATGTCTTTGTCCGAGGAGCTGTCCGCCGTGTCAGTTGGCTTTTTTTGGAAATATTCCTCATTGTCGTGTTCTTGCCCATAGATGATCTTCTCGTTTTTAGACATTCCAATGGATTGTATGAAGCAGGGTGCTTCATCATACTATCGGCTTCGGCAAAGATATCGGCACGAGCTGCCATGCGGAGTTATGGATTCGAGTTATGCGAAAAAGTACGATTTGCCGAGTCCTCAGTGCCATCTGGTTAGTTTTTACAGAGATTACCACTTTATCCAATCACCTCTACTTTTTTTGCTTTCTAAAGCTCCTTAAATGTGTTGCCATTTTTTAGTTCCGCATCTTTTTTCTTATCTTTTCAATTTGCAACTAATGAAAAAATGAACCGCCGAAATTCGAAGGCGTTGGTATGCAAGTAAATCAAATCTAAAAAAACGACCAGCAAAGTAGATTTTCTCCCAGCGAGCGTCTGACGTCAGCGTAAATTCAGCAAAGAATTTCTTTCCAGTAGAGAAAAGCTCGCAGATATTTGCACTTCCAAGGTCACATCCGGGGAGCAATTGTTCCTGTTTGGCACATCTTTCATCTCAAATTGTCGAATTTTAACTATTGTACATAATCAGTATTTCCAAATGTGAATATCTGTTTCCGTTCAATCTGATAGTGATAGACATCACAGCTCTTTAAATGATGAGATAGATAGATAAGATCGTTGCTATTGCGCGAGAAACACTTCCGGCGCAGAAAGGATGGTTCATTTATCAAATCGGATTGTATCTCATGCGGATACATGCGAAAATCATTATCAGAATGCGATTTCTATCTATCCCACTCTCTTGGCCGCGCGCACTATTTTCAGCGCTTTTCGGGAAAGACATAAAAGGACACTTGTTCAGCGCGTCTCGCATTCGCATCCGAGAGATCGTTAAGTATGAATGTCACAACAAAGTGATAATGTTTGCACGAGTGATAATCCGTTCTTTCTACGAAACTGCTGTGCTTTTCAGGGTCGTTGCTCATGTCCACCAATGTTTGACAACTGGAAGACAAGTGATTCACCGGTACTTACGCTGCTTCCTACGAAGTGTGACAGACGTGAGCGCAAAGCTTCTCTTTTACAGAAACTGGTTCTTAGTATAGTGGTGGATCTGCTACATGTTTCTCTGAATTAGTCTAAATGAGTCATATTTCAAAGAGAGCAAACTTCGGCTGCAGTTCATTTATCTATTAAGGCAAATCTCGAAATTGTGAACATCATGAAAAGAAGGAGTGCAGAAATTACTGAATGATATAATGTGTTTCGACGAAAAGAGACTTGCTGCTCTGGATATAGTCTTAATCGCGGGGCTCCATGTTGAAGCCGAAATCATCGTAATTGCTCTATGTATTCGGAGTGAAGTTTGCAGTCATAAATGCGTTAAAGTTTTTCCCTATCAGCCCGGTTTGAGCTATGGTCTTGCAAATAAGATTGAGGATATGAAAAGGTGTAGTCGTTGGCGGTGGGAGCAAAACAATTTGCAAAGTTCCGTTCTATGCATGTATATGACAGCCGTATATCATGAATGCTCAAGTCCGCCTAGTAATTAGTTCCGGCAGTTATGTATAGTGGTTTGGCTGCCAGGTTTGGTTCAAATCTCGATGTGACAGAAAAGGCAGACTGCCATTTTTTGTTTTGGATGTGATATGATATTAGGTTTATTGCTCCTCAAGAGAAAGTAAACAGATAAGCTAAAATGAAAGGAACCTTTTTCCTCTCTAGTGGCTCTCAGTGAAGGGGTCGAATGAGGCGACTTGCCGTCTTAGGCAGGCACCATACTTGAACCGCTTGATCCGCTTCATCCACTTCGCTATTGGTCAAAT